TACCAACATAGTTGTTTCCAAGCTCTACATCTTGATACATACATTTCATAATTTTAATGTATTTTAGTCTTTTTAGAAATGTTAGAAACTTTTAAACAGCTTATGTCAAAGAATCTTTTTTTTCGGGCTACCTACTGTTTAAAAACAAATTACAATGAATGGTTGTTTAGTTAGAGTGTCAAAGTGTATTTTCTATACAGCAGAAATGGTTTTACTTTCAGTTTGCCCATAGGCATGATGAAAGGTCTATTTAGCCTTTAAGTGATGATAAGAGCAGTGCTGCATGCAAGTAATCTGCTGTATTATGTACATAAAATGGGAGAAGCTGCAGCTTGCATTGCCCTTTTAGAGGGGGTAATTAAGAATCCAGTTTCATGCATGCTCATTTTATCCCAAAGTAGTTTTTCTCTTCCTAAGCAATTCCACATTTCAGGTACTTTTATTTTCTTTAGGGCCTGTCAAGTTACAAGGGAACAAGAACAGTCTGGGACAAAAACTATCCAACCTGCTCTCATCAAATGTGGACTGCAGGAAAGTTGAAGAGCTAGACAATCCCCATGAAATCCTGAAGATGTTAATAGATTTGGTTAGTATTTTGTTAAACTATTCAATGTGAGTCCTTAAGGGAGCAAATGTAACTGTCTGTTTACATACGCTACTTTGTTGTTAGCTTACAAACTACTTTCTTTTCTTTCTCTTTTAAATAAATACTCAGATAAATGATAAAGAGGAGGCTCTGGCTCATCAGAGAAAGGTTAGTTACATGCTAGCACGTGCAATGGAGATGAAAGAGGACGTTTTGGAACAGGATAAAGGAAACGGCACGCTGGGGAGTCGTCCGTACGAAGCCCAGGGGTCATCGAGCCAAAACCTCTGCTCTCAGAACAGTGTTTCTTCAGCTCCCAGTGCAAAATCCTTTGAAAACCCAGTAAGGATGCTGCGAAAATCACACTCCTGGCCGTCAGAGACTGCGCGCTGTGAGGAAGACGACGGGCGGGGAGGAGCGGACCAAACCGTAGTGGTCTCTGTATAGCCGCCCGCTGGAATAAAGCCAGTTTGTAAAGAGAAAGGTCTTCTTGTGGACGCGCCTAAAAACATCCTGTGGTTACATCCCTGGGGGCCGAACCAGGGCACGGCATTAGCTGGTACTGTCGTTAGTGATGACATAATAGGGCGGTGACCATCGCTTTGGCAAACAGCCCCGTTTAATTAGTTTAATTGTTTCCAACCTAGAGCAGCAGCAGCAGCAGCGCTCCCTTGCCCAAGCCCTCGCTTTTGCCTGCCCCTTCCCTGACGCCACGTTATCTGGTGACGGAGTATGAGTGACGTCACGGCGGAGGGTGACGTCAAGAGAAAAGGAGGGGAGGGAGGGTGCGGCCGGAGCGGCTGTAAGGGGCGGGGCCG